CAAGCACGGGGACCAGGGTTCGATCCCCGGTCCTGTGTGATGCCTTGGCCCCACTCCCAGGGTGCCTGAGCAGGCAAATGAGTTGGGACACAGTGGTGCACCCCTGGAATCCCAGTGCTGGGGAGGCTGAAAACAAGAGGGTCATTATGAGTTCAAGCTGCATGAGACCCTATAACAAATACATAAATGAAAAAAGTCTGTTGTACTAATGAAGAAAAGCTCCACTGTGGCATGGTATACAGCTTTGTCTGCCTTCATGTGTACAGTGCCTTACGGGATATAAGCTCACACAGCTGTGTAGTAAATGAATCATCCTTGTCCTTGCTTCAAATCACATAGAATAAAACAGGAAACATACAGGCAATCTCACTTATCATTGGAGCCTCCTTATCTAGAAAATGGGGCTCTAATTTCTAATATATGATAACCATTTGCAGTGCAGTTTTTAATATGAAGGTAAAAGACATGGATTCATTTTAAATGTACTTCATAAGTTAGCAGAATACTGCCTTTCCTCCCTGACTGCTGAAAAATACCTGAAGTTAACTGAGTAGGTGATACAGACATTGAAAGAAAGGGATGTGAGAATGTTATGGGTTAAGAAATGAGCTGGCCCAAGGGTCACTGCGGCCCTGGATACCCTCACATGGGGGTGATTTTTGTGTAGTCACAAACAGGAACTCTGGATTGGAGCCTTCAAAACTAGAGTGCAGTATGATACTGGCAACTTAGCTTCTTGCATTCTGAATAATAATAATACAATAGCAATAGCACAGATGATTGTTTCCAGAGTCATCTGTAATGGCATTTCATGAAAGAAAAACCTAGAAAAGGACTGTCTTGTACATGAGAAAAATGAAGCTCAAACCAGTGTAGTGATGTGTGCGGCCTCTCCTTCCCTACTCAGGGCCCCTGCGGCCAGTGTGCAGTGGGACCCCAGTCCTGCGCTGTTCCCACACTACAGAACTGGAGTGTTGCCCTCAGAGGCTTGAAGGATGAGCAGGGTAGAGCGTTCCAGTGCCTGGCGCCTTGATTGGTTATGTAGTCACTAATCCCCATTGTTCTAAAAGAGGAGGGGGAGAAAACAAGAAAAGAGAAGATCTGTGTTGTCATGGCAATAGTTCAACGTTGTAATAATTAAAGCTTTTCTTAAGTGACTAGCTAAACTGTGACTTAGAATGTACTCCACTTACCCTGTAATTAGGACCCAGGCTTACAAGACAAAAACCATTACTACGTTCGTGATTCCTATTAGAAGAGGTTTATACCTCTGACTCCTTTTAGAAGGGGATTTACAGCTGCATAGACTACATTCAAGGTCATAAAGAAAAAAATTGCTGATCTCTAGCAGAAAATAGGAAATTAAGGTGCTGTTATATCAAAGAGCACAAAGGTGAGGTTTTTATAAATAATTTTACTCACAAGAAAAGAGATTGGTTCCATAAATGAAAGTGGCTTTGTCAGATATATTAGATTATTCAATCAAATGTCCCAAATATCTTAAGAGTACTGAAAATGCAAATTGGATTATACTAGATCCTTTAAATTATGTCACAACCATACTTACAACCTGTCTTTGTTTTTAATCTTTTAATGTTCATAAATTCTCTCTGACCTTTCCTTAAATCTATTTTAAGATCCTAATTCTTTATATCTGGGTAAATTCAGGAACAAAATAAATTCCATGGCATGTCTAATGAATTCAAATGAAGTAGACCCAAAGAAACAGGTCATTTAAGTTAGTGCATATATATATATATATATATATTCAGTTAAAGAAACTGAAATATGGAAGTCTAAATTAATCTAATTTCAATTACTAGTAAATCCCTTCAGCTGAAAGAATCCTAAATATATCTCTATACAGAAATACTTTTACAATAATAGATTTTATCTTGTTCTTGAATAGATAGTATAGCATAAATTAGAAATCTTGCTTTGCTAGTTTCAGAATGTCATTTCTTATATAATGCACAGTAACACATTTGACAAGAACTTTTTGCACACTAATTATTTTATTTACCATTTAAATACTTCTTTTATTATTGGTAACTCAAAGCCTAGCTCCAAGTAGTCCTGTTGTGTGCCTGTGTCCTAGTTTGTATGACAGAGAACGTAACGGTGAGTACGTCATAGGGTCACAGGAGAACCAAGTGGGTCAATAAAGAATTTATACCCATCCCCACCACATCAAAAGTGCTCACTATATTGGCCTCTATTAGAGAAAAAAAATCCTGAAGCATAAGGTGTATTTTAATTTTGCATGTGAAAATATCAATGTATATTTAGTTTTATTCTTGTTTTCAATAGTCTTCTATTTTATCCTAGCTTGTCATTGTGTATTATTTTCTCTCATTTTAGTTCCTGTATTCACCCCTCCAGTCTCATACTGGAGCCTTTTTTGTAAGTCTGCTGTGTTTTCTGAGGCAGCAACGGAAGTCTGTGGTTCTGTGGTGAGGCCAGGCACAGTGCTGGAAGAGGACTCTCAGCTCTGCTCGCTGTGTCTTCTTATTTTCTCTGTGGCCCCAATCCACCAGTGGCTGTTTTCATCTTAATTTATAGGGCGTGTACTGAACTGTAAATCCTTTCCCTTTTTTAAATATCTGTAAATAATAGGAAAAGAGCTGCTGACACATTCAACTCATTTTAGTCTCTTTCTCATCAGTGTAAAAAAAAAAGCTAATTTAAAGCATTCTAAGCATTTTTATGCAGATATCTGAATAATTATTCTATATTTCCATCCAGTTGTAAGTGATAACCCAGCTAACTGTAAGAGAATGAACGTGACAGCACCTCAGATTGTGGTTCTGATTTTGACAAACACCTTGTATGAGCACAACACAATGAAAATGCCAAAAAACATAGGGTGAAAGAGATTCACAGCAGTTTAGGTTGGAAAACAGCATTCTATCCATTTTTTTATTTTTTATTTTTGTGTGTGTGTGTGGTACCAGGGATTGAACTCAGGACCTTGTGCTTGCCAGGCAGGCGCTTAAGCCACTGAGCTATATCCCCAGCCCTAATAATTCAGTCTTTTTTTTTTTTTTTTTCTTTTGGCAGAACTGGGGATTGAACTCAGGCTCTTGTGCTTGCCAGGGAAGCATTTATTCTGCTGAGCCGTCTCCCTGGCCCCAAAAACGACATTCTAGCATCTCAACTGAAGCCAAAATTCTCTTCTTAAACACTGAATCTTTGTTTCACGCTTCCAGCTTGTGGAAGTTCATGTGGGGTAGCTCCAGCTACTTTTTAACATTCCTTTATGTTAAGCTGAAGTCTATCTACCCAAGACTTCACACATTTGCAATGAGTCATCCTCCAGATATTAGAAGACAACATTGATCCTATGCTTGTCCTGATTTTCCTCCTTTCTTTAGCATTCCCCCTTCGGGATATGCACTAATCCCTTTATTATTCTTTGAGAAGTCACTCTTCACAGATGCCTCGCTGACTCAAGCTTTAAGGAAGCAACACTGTAAAGGTGTGGATATGGGGCAATGAGCAACAAGGGTGAGGAAGGGTTTTGAAGGGAGCTCCGGGACACTGTGCTGACTAGATCAGAAGCCAAGTGGAAGGCTGGAGGCCAGAGGAAGAGAGGCTGAGAGGATGAGGGTCTGGACTGATCAGGAACAGAAATGGAGTGAAAGGCAATGATTTGACATTTTCATCAGGAAATAACAGAACTTACAAAGTTGAGTAAATCTCGTAGATTCGGGGAAAGTGATATAAAGCACCCATATTTCCAAGGGTGAGTGAGTGACTAATAAAATTGTCAATGCTAGTGGAAAAAAACAACTATTCTAGGAGCAAAAAGGAGAAAAACAAATGTTTGCTAAAGTTCTGGGGTGGAATCGCATCTATTTAGGCATTTTCATGGAAGTTCTAGAGTAATGGTTCTAGAAGTTTATAGAACTAGGACATATGTGCAGAACCATTGAAGCCAAGTTAGTAAGTATACTAGTCCAAAAACTTATGGCTAGCCAATGGCCACACTAACAAGAGACAAAAACAAATGAGCCAAGACTAAGTCTGTTCAACACACTGAGTGCCGGGGAGAGAGCTCAGTGCTTCTCTCCACATAAGTGCCTGTCTGGCAAGCACAGAGTCCTGAGTTTGATCCTCAGTAGCCAAAAATGAAAAAAAAAATAATAAAATAAAGATATTTAGCTTGGAGTAGCTAATTCCAGAAATCACAGAGCTAGTAGGAAAAAAAGCAGTGCTTAATTCAAATCACATTTTGAAGATAATAATAGATTTATGTATTTTAAAATTCTGGAAATGTTTACGTGATAAACAGTAAAAATCACTGTAAGAAATTAATTAGAATTTTTAAAACTATTATCATAGGCCCAAATTATAAAACTCTATTTTTGTCCATAGAGTTTCCTCTATGTTGATAAGAGGAAAATGCACTCATTTGAGCTGTAAGAACTTCATATTTTTTAAAGTAAATATTCACTTAGTTTAATAAGGAGGAATAATCAACATATTTTAATTATTTATGCACATTTAGTGCTCACTAAAACATGAATGTCATGGGTCCAACTCCTCCAAATATAAAGCAACCAGCAATTGAAATGACTTTCTCAATATGCTATTTACATCTACATATACCCAGAGGACAGATAACATGATAACATTTTTTGTGTGATATTGAATTTTGTTGGTAGTTATGTTTCCCTACAGCAGCCTTTATAATTATTTGCTTACAACTGAGAATACAGAATTCAAGAAGCTCATCATGTACATCTGCATGAACTCCAGAGTTTTAGGAGGGTTTCTTTGACTCTGGAATTTCTGTTTTTTTCAAAGTAGATTGTGTGTGTGTGTGTGTGTGTGTGTGTGTGTGTGTGTGTACTTATCTATATAGATGCAGATACCTTTTCATTCTCCTGGGCCTTGGGGAGAGTTGATGTGCCACTTTAAAATATTATCAAAATGATGTATTTAAATAATTGTGTGTGTGTGTGTGTGTGTGTGTGTCTGTGTGTCTGTGTGTGAAGACACAATTCCTTCAGGAGGCACCTACCACGACAAATGCAGGTGTCCAGTGTGGATTTCAGCATGGGCACTGAGCCTGTTCTACAAAGAGGTGAAACAACAACCAGTATCGGGAGGATAAAGCCAGAGCTCTACAAGCAGAAGTCCGTTGACTCCGAGGGCAACAGAGCAGAAGACGTCAAAACCTGCGGGAAACTTAACTTCACCCTCCAGTACGACTATGAAAATGAACTCCTAGTTGTGAAAATCATCAAAGCCTTAGATCTCCCCGCAAAAGACTTCACAGGAACTTCGGATCCATACGTGAAGATGTATCTCCTTCCAGATAGGAAAAAGAAATTCCAGACCCGCGTGCACAGAAAGACTTTAAATCCTCTATTTGATGAGACTTTTCAATTTCCCGTAGTGTATGATCAAATAAGCAACCGCAAGCTACATTTCAGTGTGTACGATTTTGACAGGTTTTCTAGGCATGACATGATTGGGGAAGTGATTCTGGACAATTTGTTTGAAGTCTCTGATCTCTCCAGGGAGGCTACCGTGTGGAAAGACATTCATTGCGCTACCACCGTAAGTATAGTTCCACCGATATATTGTTCTTTACTTGACCGATGGTGATATATAAGACTATTGCATAGATCATCAGAATAAATTCTACATTGTCTTAGAATCTGTATCTTAAAGGCTACAAAGGTGGGACTTGGGTGTGGAGTACAGTAAGCTGGATATCTAAGACAATAGGAATGACATTAGTGATCATTTAAATAACAAACCAGCACTTACAGATTGCCAAAAATAGTAGGACCTTTCTCTTCTAACAGAGTTATATGCAATCTATACAACACCCACATTCCTCAGGTTAATATTGACTTCCGTGACTTAAGGTGGTACTGTTCCTCCAATCAAACCTTACTTATACGTGGATGTTATTTGGTTTGACCATTACTTCAGAAGCCTTTGTGGCATATGCAGGAGTACAGCGTATGAAATGCTGAATGACACAGATGGAGTTGTTCACATTAGAAGACTTCTTTATCACAAGATGCTTTTGCTAACTATGCAGTGCCAGCAAGCAGTTGGAAAGCTGCAAAACAGTAAAAGCATGTACCATAAAATTGAGATGATTAACACTGCCACAAATTACATAACGATTTCAGAGTTTATTTAAGTGTTTTGGCACGTTAATTCCCAATTTTGTGCCATGCTTACTTTAAAATAACTAAGGTCATGCTATGTTGAAATTCATGTATACTAATTTTTTTCATGTTGTATTTGTTTAATGCATGATCTACTGGATCATTTTCTTATTCTATACTTTTAAGATATATTTTATTAGCCTAGAAGTTGTGCTTTTTTTCATACATATGTTTCTTCTTTATTGTACTTTAAATTGAAGACTATTTGCCCCGAACAGCATTATAGAAGAGAAATTTTAGACAGCTGATCTCTTAGGTTAAATTACTAAATTATCTTGTTTTTAATTTATAAATGAAAGCATTTAACTTTCTATCAAGTTGTCTTCATGTTTTTACTATCTTTTAAGTTTTACCAAAACAAATTGAAATTTGAATATAGACAAAGGCTTTTAAAAAGAAAACTATTTTTAAAATTCAAGAGTTCCTTTTGTATTTTTCTATTGTCAGCATTTTGTTAATTGCAGTCAGTATTTGTGGTTATACTGTCATAAATTATGTAGATGAGTTAATTTAAATTTGTTAGTTTACTGTGGTAGTGTATCCTCGCAACATTTTCAGTTGGTGGGTTTCATTTCATGGTCCCCACTATGATACCTATGAAGAAACAAAGAAAAAGTCTGAAATTGGGTAATGTTTCAAAGGCACATTGGGATTCTTTTGACGTCACAATGTTTATTCTGTATTACTTATGCCGCCACAGGGAAGTGATGAACAGTGGTTTTCACTGATTTTTAAAAACCACGGCAGCTTCTAGCATTCTACCAGTGAACACAGTGATTGTTAGGTTGTTCCTTTTGACTCTTTAGTCTTACTATGGCTTCCATGTGTTTAACAGATGCTCTATTTACTGAGCGCTTATGGTGTGCATGTTATGCCCTAAGTATAAAAGTTGTTTTGAAGCATGTTCTGGTCATACATTCAGACTTAAAGGTAAGTAATCCACAAATAAAGTCTAAACCTTCGCATAATTTTCTAAGCAATTACTACTGCCATGATACTGCTGGGTGGGTCTTGCAGGTAGCTTTCAGGGTCTGGTGTCTGGTGAGCCAGGTACATCCAAAGGTAAAAAAGAACCCAGCTACATTCACTGAAGATCGGGGGAGCCTGTCCTCAGGGCTGTCTGTGCCAGCAGACACAAGAATGTGCCATGAAAGAAAAGTGGTGCGAGGACAGCAGGAAAATAAAAATGACCGCGGATAAATCAGGCTGTCCCACCAGGTCACTGGATAGGATCAACAGGAATAATTGACAAGTTGCTGAGTCTTCTCTAGGCTTGCTAGACTCATGCTTGGGCAGTTCACTTTGATTAAGTGACACAGAGAGACGCAGTGCATATGTATGCACTTCACTGAGATTTGACCGGGGAAAGGGTTTTTAAAGTTCAGCCCAGGAAATCAGACACATCTGAGCTATGGGCTGGAGCTGTAGAGATTTCCAAGGTCTTTGTGATTTTGTTTTGCTTCTCTTAGAACAATGGAAGAGGCACTGGCCCTGGAGTGTTGCCCAAATTCACATAGGTGGAGAGGAAACGATCCCTCAGTTCCAATTGTGCTATGTGTACAGGTAGTAAATATGTATTTTGGGAGGAATCATAAATTTTTGTATTTCAAGCTGATCATTAGAAAAAATCTCAATTGTTTGTAGAAACTGTATTTCCCACGAGGTTTACATAGTTGTATCTTGAAAATGCTAACAGGGCTGAGGAAATAGTTCAGTGGTCTAAGCACCTGCCTGGCATACACAGTGACCTGGGTTCAATCCTGGGTACTGAATGCCATGTCAGCCCCAGAATCCCAGGTGTGCCATGCCAGCCCAGAAATGGTGACACACACCTGTAATCCCAGTTCTAGGGAGACTGAGACAGGAGGATCATTGTGAGTCTGAACTGCAGAGCGAGACCCTGGACCAAATAAATAAATAATTTTTTAAAAACCATGAAAATTCTACAGTTTCAACTTACGTTATGCCCAGCATATTGATCTCTTACATGTGCACTACCACCCCCCAACCTTAATATCTTATAACATCACAGTTTGCCTCAAGGTCTGAGGTGAGTCCTTTCTGGAGTCACTTGGAAAGATCCAGTTTCAGACACTCATTCGTCCTTGCCTTAGCTTGGTCCCTCATGAGCAATCTTAGGAATATCTCTCTATCTCATGTGTTCTTCACATCTGCAAGCACTCTGTGTCATGTGACACATTTATAGACTCCAAGAATTGAGAGGTGGCTATTTTCTGCCTGCCACAACTACTTTATCATGTTGGTATCTGAATATAAAAGAAGACAGAAAATACAATTTATTTTTAACTTAGTCTAATAGGAAGGCTTTCTCCTTAACTGGAACACTGTGCCACACACATTATCCAAAATCTTGCTTATAGTTTTTCCATTGGAAACACAGGAAAAAACATATAAACTTCTAGACTACTACATTTGGCCAAACTCTATAGTAAAACAATTGTGTCAACTTTATGGTTAAATATAACATTTAACTAAAATTTTTGCTGAGCTTTTAACAAATCATCAAACAATATCATATTTTCTTATTAATGAAAATGTTTAAATGATGTAGATTGAAGTTCATTTGAAAAACTTTATTTTTATCGCATATGTTGAGTTTTAAATCATTTCACAATGAAATTACAGTTTTCTAGAAAGAAGAATATGAAAAGGAAGTAGAAGTGTAATATAAGTTGTCATTCATCCAAGGTGATGCCCGTGTGCAAACACAAAGGCATACATATAACAGATAATCTAGTAAGTTGAATTGTGAGGTGACCTATCATTTCATTAAGGGATACTAATGACAGGACAAATATCCTCATACAGTAACAATTATTACAATATAAGAGACTTTTTGCAGTTATCACTTGTGAATTTTCAACAGTGTTTTCACATAAGTAGGATTGAAAATGGTCCAAATTTGGGTGCAGAAAACAAAGCATTTTTGACCAATAGAAAATGTCATAGTTGTTTTGATTTGTCTTTATTTTTTAATAATTCTTTTTAGGATCATTAAGCCCTGCTTGGCTAGCACATAGATATAAATGACATGGCTTTTTTTCCCTACTTCATGCTAATTAGCTCTTATAATTGTTGTAAACAGAATTCTGAAAATAAGAATTTCTAGCTTTTGTGATTTTTTACAATTAAGTGGTTCATTCCTAGAAATTTTCATCTGAACATCTGTACTTCAGTTTTCTTTCCATTAAGTCCAGTGTCCTGTTCAAGGCCTTGCCCAAATTAATCTTGCTAGAATGGTTCATTCTATGAAGGTACTTTTTTGCCATAGCATTTGATTCAAATAGCTTTGGTTTTACCACATACTTATTTGCTGAGAACTGTCTATGTACAAATGTATATTCAGTTCTACAGTGCACAAAAATACTAGTAAAATGAAGGTTTTGACTAAGGACTTAAATCTAACAGAAGAGACAAAAAGATGAGACATCTTGCATAGAAGTAGAATTAGTATCATCTTGGGAGTATAATAACGTTCTAAAATGATGAGCTGATTATTCCTTGAAAAGAAAAGAGCATGAGGAACAGGAAATAAATCAAGACATAAATGATTTCAGGAGGAACAAGTGGAGTATACGTCTGAGATGAGGAAACAAATGGGCTCCCTGGGTGACCCTATTCCCAAAGGAACCCAGAGGCCCTTGGGTGACCTAAGGGTGTACATTTATTTGCCTTCTATCAGGAAAGCGAAGTTACTGCAGCTACTATCTCAGAGGACCACCAGACGTGCACATCGGAGGGGAGGGCTTTGAAGTGGAGGGGCCTTAGGAATCCACAGCCGGAGAAACACTGCAGCCTGATTCCTGCAATTCCACAGGAAGAGGGGGAGGGGGCTATTGGGCTAATGAAGCATGCTGCATTTATTTCAACACTTTTCAAGTACTTGCCTGATGTCTGCCACTTGCTTATGGACTTCTGGAAGGCACAAATAGTCTTGTAACTCTCTTGTATGTCTCACAGCATATATACCTGAGTGTTTAGTGGTTAATTAATATGTACTTGTTAGGGAGGTGCTTAGACCACAGAACTATCTCCCAAGCCTATACGTACTTGTTCAACAATACATTTAGCACATTTGTACAAGAGGCCAAGTGTAGCAGAATTATAGCCCAACCACTTATGAATGATGAAGTGATGACTGTGAAGTGATGTCTACACATCAGTATTTACTTAGAGTTGTTAACAACAGCCCCTTTCTGTAAAACAAAAAAAAAAGGTATCTAGTGCATGAAAGACAGAATCAAATGCTTTTGCACTAATAGTTACTAAAGTATTTCTATATAAGAATTAATATTTTTATGAAGGATTAGTACATTTTCTGTTTAGGAATTCACTGAATTTTATTTTTGAATA